CGAGCCAATCTTCCAAAACGGGTCTTGCCACTGTAGGAACTACGTGCCCTGAGATTAATGTTCTAAATTGTAGTCATTAAATCAATAAATGATGCATTACTGTATGACCAGGACTTTTCTGAAATAGTTAGACCAAAAACATAATTTCTAATCATTGAAACAAATAGTGATCACTACTGCCGCTGCTAACTGGGCTATGGCTGTATAATCCATTTAATTTTACAATGCGTCCATTTTGAATTATGACCTGCATTAATATCATATAATCAAATTATTTTCACTTTATGCAGATACCGCAATGCAATGCGTACGTGCAATAGTTAATATAAATAAACATATATTGCACGCAATAAGCACATTACATTTCCTCCACGTATGACTCTAAGATGTGAAAGTCCTTGTCGTAATCGGTAGTGTTTTTGATTTTTCTTGTTACATTTTCTTACGTTACTTTTTTCTTCGTCTGATATTGGATGAACTGAGGTAAGTTGCTAATCAAGTTGATGAAATGAATCTTCAATCAGTCTCAGACATACGTCACCGATTTTACGGCAAACTATTTTTCTACTTAAGTCAACCTATATGTTGCAAGGTTTAAAAATATAGATAAATTTTATAACCTTTCTTTTTGATCTCATAAGGAGATAAGACAAAAAATGATCGAAAATTGGGTTACAGTTTCTAACTCATAATTAGATTATGTCACAGTCAATGCGTTCAAACCAAAATGACAAACTATAGAAATAAACTCACATATGCCAAAGTCTATTATTAGAGAAGATAAGACCGACCAAGGAGGCTTGCGTCACGGAAATGACAGGCTGAAATCCCTGTAGGTGAGTCCCCCGGGTATAGTAACATACTTCGTGTTATTACTCAATCAAATCGGGGATGCCCAAGGAAAACGGCGAGAATTATTTATAGTAATGGATGACAAATAAGGGGAGTACATCATTTGCATTAGATACAACTTAATTGTCAATGTAGCATACCACAACCCTCTATTGTTGACTATGTTTATGGCTGTATAGTCGGTTAATGGCTTTAAGTCTTGATTGCTGTCAATGGCATGATAGTATGGCAACTCAGGATATATATACTTAGATATTTGTATTTATTAGGACATCTGTCTATGAAGTTTAACTCATTATAGGATAAAAATTATCAATCTTATTTCTCGAATGAAAGGTTACCAATGTTGTGTATTGGGCAATTTAAAACAGGATATTTAAATCCTCGGAATTATTATTTTTTATAAAGAAAAGCTATAATAAAGAGAAATCCCGAGAAGAGCTTATTGTTTATTATTATATGAACGTCTATTTAGAACTGTAATATGAAGCAAATTTCGCATCAACACAAAATCTAAACTATCCAAAATCTAAACAAAACTTTAATATTTAGCATAAAACTCAAGGTCTTGAAAATGGATATAAGGTTTATTCTGTGGCCAGTAAATAACCGATAGGCGTTATCAGTACGAAACAGCGACGGGCAGCTTTTTAAAATACGACCCTCTAGCCCAAAGAGGACAAAAATGACCACGGTTTATGTACTGTAAAGATAAACATTTACATTGTTCGTAAAAAGGTGAAATATGAGAAAATAACTTTTTACACTATATTTTACGAAGGACATATTAAGAAAAAAAAATGGTTTATTTAATGCAAGTAGTGTATGACACTTTTGGATTCAATATTACGCCAGGTAAGGTTTTTATCTTTTACTAGCTGACCCGCGCAACTTCGTCTGCGTCTCTCAATAGTAATAAATTTTCTCCGTTTTTGAAATATTCTTCATTGGTGCTCCGCTCCTATTGGTTATGATATATAGCCTATAGCCTTCCTCGATAAATGGGCTATCTAACACTGAAAGAATTTTTCAAATCGGACACGAAGTTCCTGAGATTAGCGCTTTCAAACAAACAATAGTAATATTTTTATTACGTTAGGCTCGACCGGAGTAATACCACAGCCTCACAACTGGTGTTAATCAAATCTCCCGTTGCTTTTCACTGATTTAGTGAGGTTACCGGAGAAAAGGCTTCCCGTCTCTTTTCTGGAGTTGGGGAAGGGAATTTAAAGGGCAGTAACGCATTTGTGACTCTTGAGTTGTAGGAGTCCATAGGCGGCTGTAGTCGAGTGACTTATATACCTATAAAAAAATTAATGGAAATTTGAATGAAATAGTACAAAAGATTCGTTAAAACTGATCATAATTATAACATAAGTTCCCAGTTGAAATAAGGATGTCCACGAACCGCTTTACGTTCAAGAAGAAAGTACAAGTTCTTCTTCAAAATGAGTTGGCAGAAAGGTCACAACGCTAGTACCCCACTGTGTATTTTGATATTTATGTATTTATTATGTGTATGTTTGTGTATCGTATCTGTATACTTGGAACCTCTATGTATATATATAGTAATGAATATAGTATTTTTTTTTAGTATATAGTGTATATATGTAAGTTAGATTTATTTTAAATCAATAAATTGAATATTAATAAAGTCAAATTCTCTGATTTCTCTTTAAAATGCCGCATCATTTTTTTACATCACCCGAAATGTCGAAAAATACGCTAATGTGATAATACAGATAAACAGATATATATTGTTTTAAGGCTTGTACATTCAGCTAGTTATTTTGAGAGCTGCTGTAGACCCTTCTAGACCTATATTATAAGTAAAAATTTTTGAATATGAATGATGAATATGAAATAATATTTCAGTAAATATTACAGACGATTTTTACTATTTTTCATTTTTTAAAGAAGATTCATACTCAATTCAAGACGCGTTCAGTTTTATCGATAATTAAAATCTATGCTAGCCAAATTGCTTTGGAACGAAGAGTTCTCCAGACATTAGCCTCGCATTCACTTGAGTAGCAGCATGTTTTATTTGTTGGAGACTTATAACAGTTTTTGAGTTGATCTTTATAATTAGTTACGCCATTATTGTGCCTATTTGTCACCTTAAAATGAAAATGTAGAGTTTATTTGCATGCGATAAAGGAATGATTATCTTACTATAATATACAGTTATTTAAAAGTGACTTGTGTTGTTTTGATAGTGTTACCATTTGTCATCTCTGTAATCTATCTAAACATTATTTGAGTTTATTATTCGTATTTTCGAAATTGATATAGTTACATAGATAACTACGAAAAATAAACTAAATAAACTTAAATACTAATACGCATATACCTTTACCTACATCGGATTATCATCAGCCTTTAAAAGTCCACTGCTGCACATAGGCTTCTCTTTAGAAAGGAGGTATTGGCCTACTATACCACGCTGGCCCGACGGGTTGGTATAGGGTTTGTGTCCCTGGCCCTGAGTGTGGCCGCGGGTGGACGGGGTGGGTTTCCCCTCCACCCGCATTAGTTTGGCCAGCCGCGAGGGGGCGGCGTCCGCGTGTGCCGGACGTCGCCTAAAGAGAGGAAAACAACAATATTGAGACGGAGCCCGCACCAGGAGCGGGCTGGCGCTAGGAGGGGTCCGGATGTCTTAACAACAGCTGTTCCCGGATCCCTCCTGTTACAGGCGCAGAGTGGCACACCGTGTGGTTTTAGTCGGTCCGAGTCCGACACACCACCCCGCCGCAAACCCCGGAGGGGTGACGGTCCGAGGGGATTTCCACACGTTAAAAAAAAAAAAAAAAAAAAAAAAAAAAAAAAAAAAAAAAAAGGGTTTGTGTAAATTTTCCTTCTCTTTGTAGTGCTGTTCTCGTACGTAGTGTACTTCCTTAGTCGGCTCTTACGACACCCACGGGTTGAATAGGGATGGTGACACTCAGTATTCTTAATACGTCACCACACAGATGGTATAGACAGACATTGTGCACATTGTCCTTGAGTCTATTATTTCTAAGTCAATAAATACTGGAAAGTGTATACTTACCTTTAGGTACTCAAAACTTGCTAGAAATTATATTGTAATATGAATATTACGGTTATTGTTACACAATAGTTATTTCAAAGTTCGAATGAACAACAGATTGGTTTCAAGGCTTTTCTCCTTAGAGGCTGGTTTACATTGTTATATTAAGTAGCTAAGTAGAAATGTAAAATTTATATTATATTAGAATTCGAATAAGGTAAACTATATTATCGTTAAGATTTGCTGTAAAAATAAATTTATAAAAATAAAAAGTAAGTTTATAACATTATCATGTATTATCATGTACAATTGTTTTCAGAAGCTTTTAGGTTTGTTAATATATTGGCGTAGTCGGTAGGTACATACAATTTATATGAAACTAAGACTATGGCGATACCCGCTTTCATAATCATAAACAAGTAGTGGAACACTGCGGTGGTTTTACTGGATGGATTATTAAGTTGTAGGTGTTCATGGGCTGCGGTAGTCACTTACCATCAGGTGACCGATCTGGTTTGTGCCTACATTATAAAAAATATTAATATCGATGTACAAGAAAGTCTTGACAGTTTTTAAAACATTACTTTTATAGATATGTTCACTGAAATATCTTCCTATAAGTTCTTAATGATCCCGTACTAATCTAAACAGTTGGATCAGATTGCAAAATTGTTTAAAAAGCTGCTTCAATAGGCCATTCCTGTTGAAGCACCCTTTTCTTAGTTCTATAGTGAAATTTTAGTATATTATAAGTTTTAAATATATTTTAGATGAAGAAATAAATCTTTATTTTTACAAGCTTTTATTGAAGTTGCAATGCATGTACGAGTATGTAACTATGTTTGTTCGGGTCGGTCGGTTGTAACAATATGTCTTCAACCGATTGAGCTGAAATTTTGTGTACACGTTTAGATTGGATGACAATGCATTGTTAGCTGTATAACGTCATTCTAAATCCAACATGGCGGAACACCCAAGATGGCGGACTAGTTATTATTAATGCACTTCTACAATGTGGGTATTAAATGAAAGGGCTTGCTGAGCATAACTCGAAAAATAAAGTGATGTCACTCTAAATCCAATATCACGGACTAAGTTTTTTATGCTTTCCAACAAAATGGGTATCAAATTCGTAGATGAGACGAAAATTACATTAAACCCTCGAGAAGAGTCTGGAGAGAACGTTTTGGCTGAGGTAAATAAAAAGTTAGCGGTGATTTATAACCTGGAGAAAAAAATAGAAGAACTTACCAACAGCGTTGAATTCTATGCTGACATGTATCAGACATTACTTGATTTCAAAGAAGAGTCACAGAAAAAAATGAAGACTTTAGAACAAAAAAATGTTTATTTGGAGAAGTGTAACAAGGCATTAGAAGAACGGGTACAAGAGTTGGAAATGAAAGATAAAGAGAAAAACATTGAAATTCACGGATTAGAGAAGCACGAGAACGAAAATACCAAATTAGTAGTCCAAAAAATGGCACAGAAACTGAATCTGGACCCAAATGATATTGAAGAGGCACAGAGGGTAGGCCAAGAAAAACCAGACGACACAAAGCCCAAGACTGTGTTGGTCACGCTTCGGTCTAAGTCTGCTCGCAGCAGCTGGATGCTTGTAAAGAAAGAAAACAAAATAACGAATAATAAAGTCTATGACAATGGCAGTGAAAAGCGAATATACATTAACGAAGATTTACCAAAATACAAGCGCCAGCTTCTGTGGATGGTAAGAAACCAACTTAAGCCGAAGGGTTTTCAGTATATTTGGGCACAAAATGGTAATATCCTGGTGAAAAAGAATAGTGACGAAAAAAAGATCTATAACATTAGATCGGAGGTAGATTTGAAAAAGATCGATGAATGTAAATAAACACGCGTACATGACGCGGCGAGTACACACGAGCTGATATCTAACAGCAACATTCGATCGTATAGATAGCTTCTCCGATAACTTTAATTTCAAAAGATACTATGATATACTAGCTGTAAATAACGACCTATCCCAAAATATATGGAATACCCACATATTTCATATGAACATAAGATCGCTTCGGAAACACTTTAACGAGTTGTTAATATTACTTGATAAAAATGAGTATAAAATAGATATATTAATACTAAGCGAAATAAATATAAGGAAGGAAGAACTTGCATTGTACCAAATAGTAGGATATAATACATTTATACATACTAGAGAAACGAGAAGAGGAGGAGGAATATTAATTTACGCTAAGAATGCATTAAACTTCGAAGCTAAAATGATAAACACAGAAGCAGTAGAAACAATTCATGGTCAATTGAAACACGGGAAAAATAAAACACATATTATCGCGATATATAGACCACCGGCCAATAATAAACTAATATTTATCCAGGAATTAGAGAATCTACTGCAATCCGTGCCAGCATCTGACAGTGTTATAGTAATTGGCGACACCAATATAAACATATTGAACGACACGATTAATCCGACTGTATCAAGGTACAAAAACGCCCTGTGTGAATGCGGCCTGCTGTGTGTAATACCGAGCGAAGAAGCAACGCGCGAGGCGATCGCGGACGGCCGGCTTGAGGCATCGTGTTTGGATCATATCTGGGTGCGAGCGGGACGGAGCGGGCGCGACGCGTGCGCGTATGTCCTTGAGTCACGAATCGCCGATCATCATGGAATCGGAATAATGTTGAATTTAAGTGTGATTGGAAGCGAAAATCAATGTGTGAATGACAATATTAATAATAATAATAGTATGCGCGAAGTGTTAAAGGACAAAATTGTTAAACAAAAGCTGGATGAATATGACTGGGCCCAGTTAAATACAATAACGTGTCCGGTATTATTATATCAGACGATGTGTAGTGTATTTAATCGTATTTATAAGGAAAGTACCATTAAAACTAAAATAGATAATAAGAAGGTAATAAGACAGCCATGGATAGATAGGTATATATATACAATGTTATTGCGAAGGGATTATTTATTTAGAGTTTGGAAAGCAGATCCAAAGAGTATGAACAAACGGTTAGACTATACAAAATTTAGAAATAAAGTAAATAAATTAACAAATATGGCAAAAAATAAATATAGACAGGAACAAATTGTAAAATGCAATGGAGATTTTAGAAAAATATGGACAAACATAAACATGTGGTTGGGTCGAAACAAAACTAGCGTGGACGATGTTATTTTAAGGCATTTAGGAAAAACAGATAATATAAAACAGATTTGTACAAACTTTTCTAAAACATTTACGGAGGAAATAAAGGAAATGAAACATGTATGTAACTTGAAGTTTTTAGACAGAAATAAATATGTAAAACCGAGCGAGGTAAGCTATAGATACAAGAGGGTGACTTCATCAGATGTAGAAAAGGTCATAAGAACATTGTCCTGTGAGAAAGCACCCGGTTTAGATGGAATACGGGCGCAAGACATTATATATTTACGTAAGCAAATAAGTCCTGTTCTAGCTTCATTCATAAATATGTCCTTATCAAACGGTATTTATCCAGACCAATTAAAAAATGCAATTGTACGTCCCATATACAAATCAGGCAGTCACCTTGAATATGTCAACTATAGGCCTATCGCAATATTATCTATTATAGACAAAATAACTGAAAAAATTATTGTAGGACAGATTAGCGCGTTTTTAGAACAACACAATATACTAAGTGACTCTCAGCACGGTTTCCGGAGAGGGCGCAACACTGTCTCTGCCTTGTTGCGATTTTCAGATTACATTAATGACTGTCTAGATTCGGGCAAACAAATTATAGCACTGTTCATTGATTATAAAAAGGCGTTTGACACTTTAGACCATGAGATCTTATTACAGGCAATGGACGAATGCGGAATACGCGGTCCCACAAAAAATTGGTTTCAAAACTACCTCAATAACAGAAAAATAAGCACAATTATCTCCCGAGTGGTTGGGAAAGAGGCGGATGTCGATCAGGGTGTGCCTACTGGATCGGTGTACGGCCCTGTAGGATATATAATGCATGTAAACGGTGTGTCAAATGTCGTACATAAATGTGAGGTGTTCATGTACGCTGATGATATGTGTCTTGTTTATGCCTCCAAAAACATAATTGAGGTACAAATGTGTATACAAAGTGATTTTGAAAATATTTACAAATGGGCACACGACAATGGAATTATATTAAATCTTGCAAAAACTAAATGTATGCATATACACTCACCGTATAATCGAAATGCTAAATCTGTAAACAATGAATACCTCACAGTGATGGGACATACGTACGAATGTTTGCATATTAATAAATGTAATTGTAATTGTAAAAAACTGGAGTATGTAGATAAATTTAAATATTTAGGGCTAACGATAGATAAGAACTTTAACTGGAGATTACATGTAAATGACATTTGCAATAGGCTAAGATCGGTGCTTAGTAAGTTTTACCAATTAAAAAATGTATTGAACAAACAGACGCTAAGAACAGTCTATTTCGCACTTGCTGACTCGCTACTAAGTTATGGACTCCTTGTATACGGTCGAACCTTCATTACATATTTAAGAGATATAAAAGACATACAAAAAAGACTGATCAAATTTCTAGTGGGTAAAAATATTAAAGATAAGTGCAACAAAGATTATGATAAATTATTTCCCATTTGTAAAATTATACCCATAGATAAAAAGGTAGATTATTTGATAGGTCTGGAATATTACTTTATGGATGAATATAAAGTTAATGTTAAAAACAAGTACAACTCACGTAGGGTTAGAGAGAACAAACTGGTTCAACCACGGATAACAAATTATTATGGTAAAAGAACATCTAAGTATTTAGTACCTAAAGTGTTTAACAAAATAGATTTATTAAGAGAAAAAGTAAAAATCAGTAAAGGGTCACTTAAGACAAAATTAAAAACCATTATACAGGATTGCGACTAGAAATAAGTAAGTGTCCATTATAGTAAATTAAACCAAAAAAAAAAAAAAAAAAAAAAAAAATTGTATAAGTGGTGTTAGTATTTAATTCATATATTACATACATATTATTCTTACTTACAAGGGTAGTAGTAAAGTAATAACAAAATATCATGTGTTTATATGCATATTACTATATTATGTACTATTGTGACTAATATTAAGTGAATATGGGGTGAATCATGGTTATGTGAGAGAGCGCTTCTCGCCTTCAAACGTAAAAGTTTGGCGAGTTTAGAATTAAGTAACCTATGTATTATTATTTAATTTTCAGAATAAAAAAAAAAAAAAAAATGAAAGGACTTGCTAAGAATATGAATGCGAGTTAAATTCCGTTGCTTTAATCTTGATGAGTTCAATGAGATCAACAGACTGAGAATTCTGTCCAGCGATAACTAAAAAGTAAAAACTAAATTGAAAGTAAAAAAACCTTTTCAAAAACAAGCTTTTATTTAGATGTACTTAAAATAATAAAATTAACTTTTCCTTTAAAACTTTTACTAACAACTTATAAAGTCATTACACTATTTTTATGATATAATAATATTCTACCACATTCACACAACGCCATCTAGTCCGAAACTAAGCAGAGCTTGTACTATGGGTACTAGACAACTGATATAAATACATATATACTTTTTTTGTTAATACATACATAATATACATAGAAACGTCCAGACCAAATCAAACATTAAATGTTCATGAATAAAAATGTTTCACTTGAGCTGTAATTGAACCCACCACCTTTGGAATAGCAACTCCGTTAAACAAACCACTACACCATCCGGTCGTCAATATATAAAAGCCTGAAAGAATTACCTGTGTAGATCATCAAATCTGTGTCGATTAGATTTAATCCCACCCATTTCTATTCCATTTTCTTCCTCTAACTATGCAAAACACTCATATGCTGTTCAAGCGAGCAGCAATTTCTATAAATTGTGCAAGGAGTACTCTTTTGATCCCTTTAATACCAAAAGCAATGTTGTGCGCAGAATGCTAAACCTTAAATTTTTCCAATCGTAACATTTTTAGATTGATTTTTATTTTTTTGTATAGGTGTAGTGTCCTGTTAGTTAGTGTTCTAGAACCTCTGTTAAATTACAATGATTCTATTCGTGAAAACCCGTAACTAGCTTGATGTAGTATATCAATCTGACCATTTAATTTTTGTAGCTGTTAGTTTCCCTAACTGAAGTAAATATGTAAATAAACAAGAAAATAAATAACTTGATTAATTGATTAACCTTTTTAAAACATTTCAAACTAAGTAAATACGAGTACTTAAATCTCGCGACAAGCTTTCATATCATATAAATTATGTAATGACATTATAAGTTGTTAGTAAAAGTTTTAAAGGAAAAGTTTATTTTATTCTTTTAAGTACATCGAAATAAAACTTGTTTTTATAAAGGTTTTTTACATTTAATTTATTAGTTTCTAACATTACAGACCCACTGTCTGGTTATTTTGAAATATGTTAATAAAGTAGGCACTCTACAGCTCTACAACAAATAATGCACTACTCTGTGGCACTAACAATGCTTTATAAAATATTAGAACAATGCCTGCAAAAGATCATAGTTGCCGTAATGAACCAAAACTATTAGTGGAATTGCAGTCTGCTTTGTTTCACGTAAACTGCGGTGTGGAAACATATCATCCCTTTATTAAATATTTCTTGAGAATAGCTTTAACTAGCTACAAATATTTTTTGTCTCTTTTATAAGTTTGCGCTTGATTTCTTAAAAAAAAAAAAACACCAAAACTAGCAAGAAAGACACAGACAGTAAGGCATCTTTTATATGAAAACACTAGTTAGAACTTCCTAATATGTACTCTCTGTACAATTCTGTTATGTTATCTACATACCTACTTTCCTATATGCAATATTAAAAAATAACATCATTCTGTACTGTCCACATACTCGAACACTAATATGAGTCCAATTAAAAAAGCACACACAACACACAGGGTGGGTATGCTGTTGAATATTCATGGCACACCGGAGATCGTATCGCTTAATAAACACTCTATATACTAGTCCGCTCACGTGCTGCTAATGACCTGAACTGTATCAAAGGAAATTTTAATTTTCACTTACATCGTTTGGACATAGATTTATTATAATACGTAGACACCGTAAACATGGTTTGAATTTAGTTGTTTGTGGATATGATACGATCAATTAGAGCACTTGGTTTTTACGTAAACGTAATATCTATTACGGAGCATCCTTCACTGATTCTAATTTATTTCCTTAATGTTCCTGATTTACCTCAAGGTTGGATTCATTTAAATATGAAAAATATTATTATTATATCAATCAACATAAAAATATAAGAAGGCTTGCTTATGGAAAAACTTTAATTATTGGAATGAAACACTTGTTTCTCGGCATACCGTTTCTATTCTTATTGCATTTGTGTACCTATATGTTTATTTGTGTACCACAATATCCTTAGCAGGGTGTAGTAATGCACTTTCCATATTCCCAAAGGCTTTTTTTTTATTTTTCGTTCCGTAGTCAGACAGACAGTACATATGTGTCTTCTACGAACATCTACAAAACGTCTACGTGCTGCTACGAAAACCTCTATTGTCAATGTCTACCATTTTCAAGTTAAAGATAGATATGAAAGATATGGTGCCCTAGAGGTTTTTTTTTTGTAAATTGAAACAGGCATTATATATTACCATTTACGCGTTATGTATCGTATGTACAGTATGGGCTTTTCCACTCACACAAACTTATAGTGCTTATTTTTTATTTATACATTTTTAATATTATTGTTTTTTTATATTTAATATTATATTTTTGAAGCCATGAAGCAGGCATAGTAAATGTTTGTGGATAACGTATATTAAAAAAGTATACTCGTACATCATATTTTTAAAGAAATTATCTTTATTTTATGAATATAAGTTCAGTTTTCATAAATATACTCTCAGTCACCATCAATCATGATTACATGACTCATCATCATCATCATCATCAGCCTATCGCAGTCCACTGCTGAACACAGGCCTCTCCCATTGCACGCCACTTAGATCGATTTTGGGCTTCTCGCATCAGGCTCCTGCCAGCCATCTTGCGCAAATCGTCACTCCACCTGGCCTGTGGGCGTCCTACACTACGTTTTCCGAGACGCAGGATACATGACTGCTTGTCAACAATAGGTATATAAACATGTTGATTACTTTAGTAGTGTTTAACACCGCATCAAAACGCGTCATGAAAGTTTCCTTATTATGACGGTATTAAACATTCAATATCGGATCAAACAACCAATGTTTAACTTTGTCATTTGATACCAAACAGTAAACATAATAAAATTAGACCTGCCTGACATTTTAATTTTGCAAAACGTTTGTCACTGAACGATGTTTGTCGCAATCGGTCATTTGGTTTAATGACCTCGTGACGTTGTAATTACGAGGGGTCACGGATATATATTATAAAGATTTATACTTTTTTATACTCTGTCTCTTTAATTTGTTTGAAAATTTAATTGAGTCCAAAATTTTCTCTAAGGAGAGGTTAAAAGTATTCAAAGAACAGAAATAGAGTCTAATGGACCATTTACAGGTAAATGTAAATAGAAATCCGCCACTGATAATACTGCAGGCTATTTGGTATGAAGTGAAATTTATGATTGTAATTTATATGTACAATTGAAATGTATGGAACCAAAACTTAAGAGAGCATTCTAATTAAGATGTTGATTTAACTACGGTAAAAATGGTTTTCGTTTAAAAACGTCTTATTTTTTTTATGAGCACGTAGGTCACTCGATGGTAAGTGACTGCCACCGCCCATGAACACCTGTTTTTTTCCGAGCGGAAATCCTCTCGGATACCACTCACAGGACAAACGGTTTGGTGGTTATGTCGGACACCAACTGACTAAAAATCGCACGCCGCCTCGAGAATCAATATCCGAGGAACCAGGTCTATCCTAGAAATTTAATTCCTGGTACCCCGCGGACTCCGGGTCATCTACGGCTTCTGGATGATCCCGTCGTACTACACTACTCCTACTTTCCTTCCTACTGTACTACCACTTATACGGGGATATATAAATTATGTCCGAAATCTCATGGTCCATCGAGTACGAGCCCCAGATACTTTCACCGAGGGCAAGATGCCGATGCGAGTGCCTCCAACCAAGAGACTGAATCTCTGAGGTGGCTTCCTCCGAGGCCCATGAAAGAACAAAGTACAGAGCCATCTCGAGACTCAGTCGCACGCCGATTTTCACTTACAACTCAAGAGTTGCTTTAGCGTTGCCTGCTTTTGTAGGTTTTGAAATGTCCGGGCCAGAAATACAATGGAAACAATTTGATTTATTGTTTAAACAGATAAAGAGAAAGTAAGCCTCTTGCCTTGCTATTCTTTTCAAATATTATTAATAAATATGCTGTTTCGGAGACAAAAACTCATATAATTTGACAGAATGTGTCCAGACATTTAAAGTGTCTTAACAGTAATATATTTTATTACGAGTTGTTGCATACCTAAATTAAATATCTACCTATTCAGTACTGGTATCTTATTCCAGTGTTACAATGTCCGCAGACATGTACTTAACTTAATCCTTGTTTTTTAAAACAAATTCGTAGAAGTTCGAAATAGGCGCTCTTCAGGTGCTATTTCTAGTTCTTCTTCAGTGGTTTCATTCGTGATGTTTCGAATCCTAATTGCATTACGGCTTTATCGGGAAAGATTAGATCTTCTTGGTCGCGGCATGGTATTGTTAATGATAATATCGGCACAATAATAACAATAGAAACTCGAAACAAACACAACAACCAGTCATCTTCAAAATTTCAAATTCTAAACGAAATAAAGTATCCTATGTTCGTCTCCTAGGTCTAAGCTATCTCCCCACCAATTTTCAGCCAAATCGGTTTAGCCGTTCTTGGGTTATAAAATAGATTATATATATATATATATAATCTATATAACACCTCGACTGACAGTCAAATTCAAAGTATAATATTATCTCTTTTACACAATCTAAATTGGAAATGCAAATCACAACAACAAATAATCAAATGCATCATTTAGAAATCAAACCCCTCTCATGTTGGAACAATTATTTCAAGCTCGGTCGCGTGGATGATAACATTAGCCGTTCCCGAAAACCCGTAACCCGTAAAAACCGGCATTAATCACCACGCCGGTCTAACTAATTACGGTTTAATTTAGACCAAACAAAAGACCCCCACTAGGAAAGTCGCTTGATAAATCTCTGCCATGTGTGTTCCGGCTAGTGGCCAGAAAACTGGTATAACAGCGACTATTTTATTATTTGGAGTTCGGAATATCCCTTATAATAAAGGTAGTATCTATAATAATAATGTAATATATTATAAAGCTGAAGAGTGTGTTTGTATGGTTAAATACTCTAATCAGGAACTAATGGCTCCAATAAAAAAAAAGTTTATAGCCCATTTACGGAAGAAGGCTATAAGCTATATAACAACATTACGACCAATAGGAACCGAGGATCAATGAAAAATGTTACAAAATCTGGGAAAATTGATTCCTTTTGAGATATGCAAATGAAGTTGCGTATATCAGCTGGTACTTATATAAGTATGTATATAATGATTATAGACTACCTTTGTATTTCTTAAAAGATATTTTGGTAATCAATTTCAGCCCACGAAGTCTTTTAATCTAACTTATCTAATCAATATTTTAGAGCAGCATTCATAAATCACATGTAAAAATAACTACTACCTAAGCCTTTAGTTGAATTCTAAACTCAAATAACTATACAGGGAAACATTGTTAGTTTCTATCGATATCGTTTTTCATACAAATTGGGTATAAGAAGAGCCTTACACGACTCTGTGTAAATTAAATTTGCCTGATATCATTATGGATTTACCCTTGTTAAATACGACCATTTTTTTAGTAATTTTCTAAAAACAACTGTGTAACTAAAAACAATTATGTATATGTTATACATGAAAAAAAAACACATGTATACCTTTTTAAGCAAATATGGCACAAGTGGGCTTTTTTGGGATGTTTAGTATTGAGTATAAAGTTAAAAAATATATAATAATAATTTCATAAGATCAGAAGGTCCAGTATACATGTGATCGGTCATGGTAGAAAAGTCTACACTTTCGGTTATACTGGTTATTCATAAAACAAGACATGAATTTTGCCAGTTCTGAAACTGAAAATTCAACCACCATGCAATCTCTCTCCACCTTAAAATCTACTATTGCCCGATCAACATCACGCACCCAACGCAATGGTAACCACAGCATTGTCGTGCTAACAAAAACTTTTCACCAATTTTCCTATCCTCCTATCCTAATGGTTTACGGGTTATTTACATTCTTTAGACAATAATGTTTTTGTTTTAACTTATATGTAAGTTACCCTAACTGATATGTAATTAGCCATTGGCAATCGATATACCTTACTTATATATTGAGATGTCCTAATCTAGTTGGTATCTTTTCAGAAGGAAGGATTTATTCTCTGAAACGTAGGCCTTAAAAGTTTGACCGTAAATTAAAGCTTAACTGCAGTTCACTTTGGATAGCCTGAGATTCAGTTTAGTATAGCACTAGAAGTTATTGTTGCTAAAATGCTATCAAAACATGGGTATAGGCTACTTGAAGTTTGAGCAATGTTGTTTTGAAAACTGTTGCACTTCAACAATCTCGGAATCTGTTTGAAAAACTGAACCAAAACATTTCAATTAAAACGCAAATGATAAAAGTTAATTAATTGAAACATCGACTAAGCCAGGGTTTACCGTCAATCATACAATTCGGAACTTCACTAACGGTAATTGAAAAAGTTAACACTTAATATCTACGGGGATCAGAAAACGTGAATTATTAAACCAATTAAAAGTTGGTAACATTAACTGATTCAGCGCACAACAAATTTGTACAGAAGTTGCCAGCCTTAAAGTCCCCATTTTATTACATATGGACCCTTTCCGTTACGTATAAAATCGCCATAAAGTTTTGATAACGTATAAAAGAATAAGGATACAGGCCTATACACTCTATACAGGTAAAAAACGATTTTGTGGACTTTTAAAGATTTGCTCAGGTAGGCAAATCACGCGAGCAAGAGTTATGTAATGCACAAAACATCTTACGTCTATTTTTGGAAATATGTGACGTAATAAAAGACTGATACGGATTTATGTACTATAGATAAACACTTTAAATCTCAAATGTACGAATAGTAAAATATTCGTTCTTATTGGTCTTTTATAACAGAATTACGATTTATCGTTTATTTTCTGTCTTTATCAAAATAATTCTTATCGTCGATCTCCTACCAACATTGGGAGCATCGGTTTTTGGCTTTTAAACATTTTCGTCTTAGAGGCTGAAATGAAATGCCTCTTTCTGGTTATATTAATGTGCGAAACTATTAACTATTCTGTTCATGTTCAATCGATATAAAGTTTAGTTCTTGTGAAAATGAAAAAAATCAACATGATGAGTTAAAAGTATCAGTTTCGTTTTTAACTCATTTTACAAAACAAAAAATGCTCGTAACCTTTTTATGAATTTTTAACAGATTTCGTTTGTGAATATAGAGATCACATTGGCAGTAAGTCTCGGATTACATGATTATTGCAGCTAGTGTAGGCCGAACATGTGT